AGAGAGACAGAGTGCAAGCAGGCGAGGGGCAGAGAGAGAGGGACACACAGAATCCAAAGCTGACTCCAGGCTCTGAGCTGTCAGCACAGAGCCCGATGCAGGGCTCGAACTCACGAACCGTGAGATCATGACTTGAGCCAAAGTTGGACGCTTAACTGACTGAGCCACGCAGGTGCCCGACCCCTTGTTTCTTAAAATCTCATTTAGGCTCTAAATACTCCTGGAGAAGAGAAGACAGTTTCTCAAAGTGAGTATAAGGCAGTGGGATAAATTCAGGAGAAAATAAATTAAGGTGGCAACTTCAAGAACACAAGTAAGTGTATGTTCTAAATGAAGCAACACTTTATCAAGGGTCTCTTAAGCTCAGTAGCCATAGCAAGCTGGAAAATTCCAAGCCTCACGAGAATTGCATGTTTGTTGATGGATATATATGAAAATAAAGATCAGGTTGAAGAAGCATCTTTATAGGAGTCTGTCCTCTACTTTAAAGAAAGGTAAACAAATCTTTCCCTCGAATAAGTGCCAGACAGATGGTCTTTGGAGCCTCTGTGGTGGGACCCACACACACTGTCCATTGCTGCTTTTAGCACCAGCTGACAGGTCATCTCATCTTTATGGGTACTTAGAGGACCAGAGGTGACTGCCCACTGCTCTGTCCCAAGAAGTCCTTAGGGGAGGCCTGAGGCAGATTTTGTCTGTGTCACTGGGTTCACTTACTTTCATTTTTCTAGGCCTTATGATGGGAAATGGAGTAAGACAATGGTGGGATTTGGACCTGAGGATGATCATTTTGTCGCAGAACTGACTTACAATTATGGCATCGGACACTACAAGCTTGGCAATGACTTCATGGTAAATGTCATTTCATTCTAGTAGATTTTTGGCTGTGCCTTTTATTGAGATCCCTGATACGATGTTAGGTATGATGACTGCTGAATTGACGGCCTTTGGGTGCAGGTTAGTGATTAGTTTTATGGGGTTTTGTTTTGTTTTGTTTTGTTTGAGAGTGAGCGTGCAAACAGGGGAGGGGCAGGGAGTGGGGAGAAAGAATCCCAAGAATCCCTAACAGCACAGAACCTGATGCGGGGCTTGATCCCACAAAAGGTGAGACCGTGACCTGAGCCAAACAAAATCAAGAGTTGGTTGAGCATCCAACTCTTGATTTCAGCTCAGGTCATGATCCCAGGGTTATGGGTTCAAGCCCTGCACTGGGCTCTGTACTGACAGCTCAGAGCCTGGAGCCTGCTTCAGATTCTGTGTCTTCCTCTCTTTACTCCTTCCCCGTGTGTTCTCTCTCTCTCTCTCTCTCTCTCTCTCTCTCTCTCTCTCTCTTTCTCTCTCAAAAAATAAACATTAAAAAAAAAAATTAAGCAGCACCTGGGTGGCTCAGTTGGTTGAGTGTCCGACTTTGGCTCAGGTCATGATCTCGCCATTTGTGAGTTCGAGCCCTGCGTCGGGTTCTGTGCTGACAGCTTGGAGCCTGCAGCCTGCTTCGGATTCTGTGTCTCCCTGTCTGTCTCTGCCCCTCCCCTGCTCATGCTCTGTCTCTCTCTCGTTCAAAAATAAATAAACGTTGAAAACAAAAAAGCTAAAAAAAAAAAAAAGTTAAGACTTAGAAACAGCTTTGACAGAGACAAGACGACTCTGGGGGAATGACTGAACCTTGAGAGGTAGAAGGGCCAGCGTCATGGGTCTGGTCAGGTCCTGATCACCAACCAGAGAATTATCTCTTGTGAACTGTTAAGATTGAGCTGCACTATTAACAACCAGTGCTAGTCAGAGAAAAACATGAGAAGCTTTAAGGAGAAAGAGAAGAAGGCATTGCATGCGCTACATTCTTTCATGCAAGAATTCAAGTTACTGTGCATCTAATAGTTATAGTATCTTCCTCTTACTGAGCAGTTACTCATGGTAGATATAATGTCTCTGGGCCCAAATACACAGCAAGATAGGAGGCACTAGTTTTTACTCTCTGCTAAGCAAACCTGCCTCATGCTAGATGTTTATTTTGGTCATTTGCTCTTGCTACTCTTGTTAACTCCTGTTAAAATAATAATGATATCAAAAATAAAATAAAATAAAATAAAATAAATAAAAAATAGTGATATCAAGGTGGAATTTTTAGGAGGATCAAATTATCTATAAAAGTGGTTTGTAAATGAAAAGGACTGTTCAGATGTAACATACTAGTATCTTTGTTTTTCTCTTTCTCACTCTGTATGTCCTTCACTAATTTATTCATTTAATAGATATTTACTGTGACTTACTGTATGCCATGTACCTGGTTAGGTCCTGGGGGTACAGTAGAATGATGCATGTTCCCTGGCCTAAGGAGCTTCCTGTCTTATGGGGAAATAAGTAAAGAGACAAAAGAATGCAGTGTGATAAGTGCCAGGATTGTGACAGGCAGATGTGGGAACACCTGGGAAGAACTCCCAGCTTATTCCCAGAGAGGTGAGAGTGCAGGGAAATCTCTCCAGAAGTGACAGCCGAGCCGGTGAGTGGGGTCGGGGTGGGAGAGTGAGACTTGTGTCTCGGCATGCACGCAGGCCTGGAGGTGAGAGGCAGCATGGCAGTCAGGGGACAGTGAGTAGCGCAGTTTGTGTCGAGTGAGGTGCGTGAAGACGAAGGGGCAGATGTGAGGCTGCAGAAGTAAGCTGGGACCGCATCACGTGAGGGTGTTCAGACTACATTCTAAAAATAGAGTGAAGCCATTTTTAAGCGGCGGGGATGACACCGTGTGGTGTGCAAGAATCCGCCTGGCTGCAGCACGGAGATCAGGTTGGAAGGGAGCCAAACTGGAAGTGAGGCAACTGGCTCAAAGGGTGGTATGGGGGGGCGCCTGGGTGGTGCAGTCGGTTAAGCATCCGACTTCAGCCAGGTCACGATCTCGCGGTCTGGGAGTTCGAGCCCCGCGTCGGGCTCTGGGCTGATGGCTCAGAGCCTGGAGCCTGTTTCCGATTCTGCGTCTCCCTCTCTCTCTGCCCCTCCCCCGTTCATGCTCTGTCTCTCTCTGTCCCAAAAATAAATAAACGTTGGAAAAAAAAAAAATTAAAAAAAAAAAAGGCTGGTATGGGAAGCGACTGGCCGCTCCTTACCTAACCTGGTAGTTGTGGGAGATTGGAGAGAAGTGGGTGGACTTGAGAGCTGTTTAGGAGGTAGAGTTAAGAGGATTTGGTGATTGAGTGTATGTGAAAATTTCTTTGTGTTTCTCCTTTTCTTCGCTCTCCAAATTTAAATCAGGGAGAGAAGAAAAAGCAAAACCATTTGGCACCATGAACATTGCACCGGCTCCAGTCAGATGTTGACTGATGGAGCCGCAGGGGCCAGAGAGCATGTAGGTGGAGGAGAGCAGCTCAGCTGTTCCGCCCTGGGTCTTCCTGAGAGACTCTGGCAGGAAAGTATCCCTGAGGAAAGGGACCTTCGGTGCTCCTCAGTTTGTGGAACAAAAAGAAAAACAGGTTACATAGACCTCCCACTTCTGTAAAGAATCCCTGTACATGAAAAAGAGGAGGATGGGGAGCCTGGGTGGCTCAGTTGGTTGGGCGCCTGACTTCGGCTCAGGTCATGATCTCGCGGTTCATAGGTTTGGGCCCCGCGTCAGGCTCTGTGCCGAGAGCACGGGGCCTGGAGCCTGCTTCGGATTCTGTGTCTCCCTCTCTCTCTCTGCCCCTCCCCCGCTCATGGTCTATCTCTCTCTCTCTCAAAAATAAATAACCGTTGCAAAATTAAACAAAAAAAAAGAGGATCAACAACTTAATTTTTTGAAAAAAGGACAAAAATTGAATAGACAGCCACAGAAAGTACATGAGAAATGTCTCTTAAACATTGAAAAAAAAATGTTCAACTGCCAAGCTGCCATTTGTCACCGATTGGCAAAACTCAAAAAGTGTGATAACGCGCTGTGTTAGAAAGGGTGTTAAAAAAGCGCCACTCTCACACGTTACTAGTAAGGGTGTATATGGCTACAACCTCACTTTGTCACTATCAAAATAATTAATGCATCTATCCTTTGGCCTTGCAGTTTCACACTTAGGAACTTAGTTTACATGTATGTTCACAAATATGTTTAATGAACTATGTACTAAATTACACATTGTGGTGTTTATTCATGCCACAAATATGTATTGAGTGCCTTCTATGTGCCAGGCACAGTTCTAGGAACTTTGGATAACCAGTGAATGAAACAGACAAAAATTTATGCCTGGCAGGGGAATAAAGTCATAGCAGAATAAGGGGTGGTGGGGATTATGGGACAAGTGACTGGTTTTAGTTTTAACGAAGGTTTCAAGGGTAGGGATCAATGAGGAGGTGACAAAATAAGGGAAATTCTCTCAGGAGAGAAGAGTTAGGCATGTGGTATCCTGGGGAAGAGCAATCCAGATAGAGAACAGCCTGTGCAGAAGCCCTCAAACAGCAGCTGGCACATTTGAGAAAATGCACGGAGGCCAGTGTGGCTGGAATAGACAGAGCAAGAGGAAAGTGAGAGGAGACGGGTCCGAAATGACCTGGGCTCAGATTGTTTTGGGCCTTTCAGGCCATTAGAAGCCATCCCTGAGCGACATGAGGAGCTATCAAGGGTTTTAAGCAGGGGAAAAACAACATAAGGTCGCTGTCTTGAGAGTAGGGTGTGTTTCAGAAATTTTACTCTGGCTGCAGAATGGAGGATGGATTGACAAGACTCAGGGAAAGAGAGGCTGGCTTTTTTTTTTTTTTTTTTTTTTTTTTTTTTAATGTTTATTTATTTTAAGAGAGCACATGTGCGGGACAGAGAGAGGAAAGAGTGAGAATCCCAAGCAGGCTCCACGTTATCAGTGCAGAGCCTGACACAGGTCTTGATCTCACGAACTGCGAGATCATGACTTGAGCCGAAATCAAGAATCAGACACATAACTGACTGAGTCATCCAGGCGCCCCAAGAGAAGCTGTTATGATAATCCAAGTTAGAAGTGCAGCTGGTCTGGGGTGCCTGGGTGGCTCAGTTGGTTGAGCCTCCGACTTTGGCTCAGGTCATGATCTCACGGTTTGGTGAGTTTGAGCCCTGCCTCGGGCTCTGTGCTGACAGCTCAGAGCCTGGAGCCTGCTTCAGATTCTGTGTCTCCCTCTCTCTCTGACCCTCCCCCACTCACACTCTGTCTCTCTCTCACAAATAAATAAACATTTTTTTTTTTAATTAAAAAAAAAAAGTGCAGCTGGTCTTATCAGAAGACAGTGTACATTTTTAGGTATTTTGATTAAATTTAAATGATACCTTGATAATTGGCTTAAATTATTTTGTTTAGAAAGCAAAAATAAAAAACATCTTAAATAGGTAGCTGGCAAACTAAAGTAAGATCAAGATTTCTCTGACTAGATCTTTAAAATTAGAAGAGATTATCTTTGTTAAATAAAAATTTTAAACAAAAAAATGAAAGATTATCTTTGGTGTTAAATGGATCAAACTTCTCTAGCCTTTGAATTTCTGTCCTACAATTCACAACATTTGGAATCTTTGGAGGAGAAATATGTCCTAGGCGAAAATTTTGAATGCCAATTAAATCTTCGGTGGCATCATGTAAAGGCAGCGGGGTTTTGCCTCATTATCTTGTTCTAGAAAAGATCCATGGTTATACAGTTGATGGTACTGTTGTTTGTCACAGGGTATCACACTCGCTTCTAACCAGGCCGTCAGCAATGCCAGAAGGCTGGAGTGGCCACTCAGCGAAGTTACGGAAGGTGTTTTTGAAACTGAAGCCCCAGGAGGATATAAGTTCTATTTGCAGAATCGAAGTCCACCTCAGTCAGGTAATTATAGCGGAACTAGTAAAAGCCCTCTGTCTAACGACATCTTTGATGAAAGGAGAGAGGAGCCAGATTTCTTTCTCCCGTGAAGTCTTTCTGTGTTGCGATGACATGTCTTTCCCAAGCCAGCGTTTTGTTCTTTGAGAAATCATATTTTCATATTAGAACTTCAGTGCATAATTCTAGGGAATCTAAACTGGTTTGGGCTCTATCCTACTGGTAATACCTACTAGGATATTTTCAGCTGTATCAAAATCGATCTCAGACTAGCTGGCACATGAAGAAAACGTTCTAGCTCACGGAGCGGGTATCCTATAGGTAGGAACAGCTCAGTGTTAGTGGATTCAGCATCTCAGCAATGGCATCAAGAATCCAACTCTTCTCTCCATTGTCTTGCCCACGGGGGTCCACCTGTCCTAGAGCCACTTCCCTCGCGGGGAGAGAGAGAGTGCACCCATGCACAGGGGAGAGGCAGAGAGACGGGCCGAGGCGGTGAAAACTGAAGACAAATGTACTGAATTTACCATAGTCAGAACAGCTCTTCAGGGGTCACTTTACAATATAAAAATTTCCAATAATGTTAAATGTTTTAATAGAACTTTTATTCTTTTTGGAAAAAATAGATTTTTTTTCCTACACAGATAAGCAAAGAAGAAAGACGAAAACAGTACCCACATAGCCAGAGATAATCACTGTTAACATTTTAGAGTGTATCTTTCAATCATTTATCAAAAGGAATGTATATCTATGTTTGTATGTGTGTGTGTGTACGTATATGTATATATATATATATATGTATGTGTATATATATACGTATATATACGTACATATATGTATATGTGTGTATATATACGTATGTACGCATATATATGTGTGTATGTATATGTATGTATGTATGTGTATCTTATGTTCCATTATAGCGATTCCTATGTATTACATCCAGGAATCAAACAGTGCCTATTGTTGGATGTTTATGTTGTCCTTAGTGTTTCATTGTTACAAGCAACAGTGTAAAGAATGTCTTTGTGCAGAAAGCCCTTCATACATCTACAATTACTTCTTTAATTGGTGATAATAGGATAGCTCTTTCAAAAGCAGTTTACATTTTTTTAGGCTTTGGGTACATTCTGTCAAATTGCTGCCCAGAAATGAACTAATTTATAATTTACACTCTGCCAGTACTATATAATTATGATTCTTCCCCCTGCCCTATCACAGTTAACACTGAACTTTTAAAATTATCTGCCAGTGAGATGGCAAAATGTTGTGTTTTAATTCCAAATTCTTTGATTATTTGTGAGGTTGAATGTTTTTTCATGTGTTCATTGACCATTCCAAGTCCTTCTTTTGTGGGTTACCGCTTTGTGCTTTTTACCTATTTTTTTAGGATGTTCGTCTTTTTTCTACTAATGTTTAAAGGTGATTTAAATATTAAGGACTGGGGCGCCTGAGTGGCTCAGTCAGTCGAGCCTCTGAGTCTTGATTTCAGCTCAGGTCATGATCTGACAGTTCATGGGTTTGAGCCCTGAGTCAGGCTCTGTGCTGACAGTGTGGAACCTGCTTGGGATCCTCTCTTCCTCTCTTTCTGCCCCTTCCTTGCTCGTTCTTTCTCTCTCTCCCCCCCTCTTTCTCTCAAGAATAAATAAATAAACTAAAAGAGTAAAAAAGTATTCAGGACTTTTTGTCATATATGTTGCAAAAATGTTTCCCACTTTGTCATTTACTCTTTGATTATCATTTTTTTTTCTTTTCTTGGAGGGGGGTGGTTGTTGTCTAGGAATTTTCCATTTCATGTGATTAACCTAATACATTTTTTCTTTCCTGGTTTTTCTACCTTTGGTGTCAGGTTTAAAAAAAAATCTTTCTACACCCCAAAATTGTAGCAATAATAATTGTAATAATAATTGTTTTTAGTATTTTCATGATTTCATTTTTTTTTTTTATTTAACATTTATTCATTTTTGAGAGACAGCACAAGCAGGGAAGGGGCAGAGAGAGAGGGAGACACAGAATCCGAAGCAGGCTCCAGGCTCTGAGCTGTCAGCACAGAGCCCTATGGGGCTCGAACTCACAAACCGTGAGATCATGACCTGAGCCAAAGGCGGATGCTTAACCCACTGAGCCACCCAGGCACCCCATGATTTCATTCTTTAAACTAAATCCTTTAACCCATTAGGAATGTATTTTGCCATTTCGTTTAAAGGTGTAATTTTTCTAACCAAATGACAAGCCGGCTTTCTTCATGCCATTTTTTGAATAATGTGCACTTTCATACTGACTTATCATCCCTTTCTTCTCGTAAACTGAACTCATATATACACGAGCCTGATTTAGTCTTCCTGTTCTATTCCACTGTGCTGACCTATCCATTCCTACTGTTTTATTACTCTCCAGATCCTATATTAAAAGTAACTCTAGCAGTGTCTGATCTTCAGAAATCCTTGAACTACTGGTCTAATCTACTGGGAATGAAAATTTATGAAAAAGATGAAGAGAAGCAAAGGGCTTTGCTGGGCTATGCTGATAACCAGGTGAGTGATCTTGGAGAGAAGTAATCTGTTACTTTGAGTTTGGCTTACAAATGAGGATCACATGAAGGTTATTCTCAGAGTTTTTCACAGTGACTCAATATTTACATAGGTAAGCAGAAAGAAGAAAATAAAAATTGCTGATAACCATCACCCATATATTACCTTTGTTTATTTTTAGGGCTATAACCTTTGCGGAGTCAGAAGTGATCATTGATTTTCATCTTTTTTTTTCCCCTTAAATAACCTAGCATTTGAACATGATTTAGTCCGTGCACTCTGACTCAGCAGGTCTACTCCCAGGAATTTATTTTACAGACGTACTCACCATACACGTGCACAAAGAAATGTGTACAAAGTTATCTGTTGCAGCACTGTTTGTAATAGCAAAGAATAAGAAATAACCTCAGTGTTCTGTGCATTAGAGGAGTAGTTCAATAATTTATGGTTCATCCATAGAATGGATTACTGTGCAGCTGTCAGAAAGAATGGGGTGAATCCTTACATGCTGACATAGTAACATTGGGTAGAAACAAGGGACAGAATAATGTGTAAATTATGCCACCGTTTGTGTGAAAAAAAAAGAAGATCTGTGCATGCCATGTGTCTTCCAGGAAACTGTTGACTAGTTGCCACTGGGGAGAGTAGAAGGGAGCGTTAGTTTTAACTTTATTCCTTTAGTACTGTTTGAATTTTTTTTTTAACCATACATGTAACGTGTTCCAAAAAATAAACCTTTCTTATTTCTTTTCAGTGTAAGCTCGAACTACAGGGTATCAAAGGTACAGTTGATCATGCAGCAGCTTTTGGAAGAATTGCCTTTTCTTGCCCCCAAAAAGAGGTAATGTTTGGTCCTAGATCTTTGGTTTAAGCTCTGTGACTAGCTGGTTGAACCTGCTAAGAATGTCGCGCCCCCCCCCCCCCCCTTTCGGTTCATTCTGATTGTGGCTTTGGTATCAAGTTCAACAGTTGTCTCAAGAGCAGCTGAGTTAATAAAATCAAACACATGGTGCCCGAGTTCTCTCTGGTTGATCTCATCCTCCCCCAGGGCCGCTGAGGACCACAGCGTGAGTGGTACATGACCCCTTGCTCACTTTGCCTCTTTGTCTTCCTCAAGTTATCAGACTTAGAAGACTTAATGAAAAGGGAGAACCAGAAGATTCTGACTCCCCTGGTGAGTCTGGATACCCCAGGGAAAGCAACAGTGCAAGTGGTCATTCTGGCTGACCCTGTAAGTATTACTCAGGGAAGGGGTGGGCTGCACCAGGGGTTTCTGCAAGGTGTCTTTCCGCCAAATTTCTTTTCTCTTTATTGCGGTAGGATGGACATGAAATTTGCTTTGTGGGGGATGAAGCATTTCGAGAACTTTCTGAGATGGATCCAGAAGGAAGCAAACTGTTGGATGATGTGAGTCTCATTTCTGACTTTATATTCCCACAGGCCCACCGGGGATGGTCTTAAGTGTGTGGGGGAAGGGCCAAAGCAACAGGCTCCACAGCTGTGTCCTTTTGCTGTTGGGGTGACTTTTGAGCCAGGACTATGTGTTTTCATTGCCACCCATATGACTCTTGTTTTGTTTGAAGATTTTATTTTTAAGTAATCTCTATACCCAACATGGGGCTCAAACCCACAACCTTTGAAATCAAGAGTCTCATGCTCTACCGATTGAGCCAGCCAGGCACCCCTAAAATATTTTATGTTTTTATTTAAAAATTTTTTTTTTAACGTTTTTATTTATTTTTGAGACAGAGAGAGACAGAGCATGAACGGGGGAGGGGCAGAGAGAGAGGGAGACACAGAATCCGAAGCAGGCTCCAGGCTCCGAGCCATCAGCCCAGAGCCCGACGCGGGGCTCGAACTCACAGACCGTGAGATCGTGA